GAAACATGCCCCCCAGAGTAATGTTAAAAGAATAAACATCCCACAGAGAAAAACTTTTTTTTTTGGATAAGTAAATATAGGCAGAGGCCAAGCATGGTGGGTATGCTTCAATCCCTCCAGTGGCTGAGGCTGGAGGATCACATATTCAAAGAGATCTATACCCTGTCTTATGAACTAGAATTGGAGGCACTTGCTGCCAAGCTTGACAACCTGAGTTCAATCCCCAGGACCCACAGTGGGAGGCCAGAACCAACTCCTCCAAGCTGTCCTCCATGTGCAACACTCCCCACACCTTTACATACAGACGCACAAAATAAATAAAGGCAAATAAAAAGTTAGGTAAAGCTATTTTCCTCATCTGATTGGTAACCCTTGAATCCTTCCAGAAATTTCCTCATGGCCAAACTGGAGGGCATCACGGTGGGCTGGGCCTGCCATGGGACACCTGGGTTGTGGCTTTCACTCACAAGTCAGCACTGGATGACCAAAACAAGCTGATGAACTCTCTGAAGGCTGAAGTCATTTAATATCACTCATTATAAACTGCAAAGCACTCTGCAAACCAGATATCATTACAGCAGCTTCTTTTTTCTTTTCTTTCTCATTGCCACAGACCAAACCAGGTCCTTGTGCTTGCAACATTCTACGGGAGCTAAATCCTCCTCAATGCCACAGTAGATTTTGGGAGGTAAAGAACTGCTTTTCAGATCCTACATGAAATAATTAAAAAAAAAAAAAAAAAAAGTACTGGGCTGGGGAGAAAGTTCCTTACTGCAAAAGCAGGAAGACCTGAGTTCAAATCCCAAACACTTATGTTTTAAACAATGTTGGGCATGGCCACACCCACCTGTAACCCCAGTGCTGGGGGTGGCTGACAGAGACAGGAGGCTAGGGCTTGCTGTATAGCTCTGTGTTTGGTGAGAGACCCTGTCTGATGTCCTCTTCTTACCTCCTCATGTGCAGGCATGGCGAGTACAAGAGCGTATATGCACTTGCACACACATAAATAATTTTAATTAAATTTTTAACTACATATTTTATAATTATACACATTTTGCATTCTCTTTCACAAAAATAAAACAAAAGTCAAATGGAATAGAGCACACCTATGAATAGAGCACAGGGAGGTGGAGGCAGGAGGATCAGGAGTCTAATGTCATCCTTGGGTACATAGTAAGTTCCAGGATAGCCTGGGCTACATGAGACCCTGCCTTGAAAACAATATTAGCATATCAGGATGATGAAGCCCATTAGCCCAGTTACTTGGGAGACTGAGGCAGGAGAACTACAAAGTCGAGGCCAGCCCAGACTATACAGTGTGTGTGATAGTGTATGAATGTGTGTGTGTGTGTGTGTGTGTGTGTGTGTGTGTGTGTGTGTGTGTGTACATGCCATGCTACATATGTGGAGGTCATAAAATGACCTCAGGTGCCAGTCAATTTCCACCTTATTTGAGACACAATTTCTTGTTTGTCACAACACACTCCAAGCTCCTTGGCCTGTGAGTTTCCAGGGATTCTCCTATCTCCACCTCCTATCTTTCTGTAAAGAGTACTAGGATTAGAGATGTGTGTTAGCATGCCCTACTTTACAGGGATTCTGGGGATCCCAACTCAGGTGCACACACTTGTGCAGCAACCACTGAACCATCCTCCCAGGCTTCCTCCCTTTAACACATTAGGTCCTAGTGAATACAGAATTGACTCAGTAAGCAAAATTTAAAATTTAAAATTTAAAATGTCAAAAAATAAACATCCAGCCAACGGTTGTGCTGAGCTGGATGGGCAACGAGGTGACGACTGGGGACCCATTGGTTGGGCCACTGGAAGGGACAATGGCCACGCCACATTTTGAAAAGGTGCTGACAGTTAAGGAGGGACAGACTTCCTGGAAGAGGCTGCTCCTGGGACACAGAGTGCCCCATAATTCACAAAACGTCTTCTTGAGTACTGTCCAATGCATCCCACACCACAAACCTGCAAGGTTAAATATTATGTGGATTTTGTATGTGTGCTGTGTACTTAGTCTACAGATGCATGTTCCTGTGTGTGTGTGAACATGTAAAGCCCAGAGGTCTACACTGGGCGCTTTCATCTATTGCCCTCCATCTTTTTAATTCCTTTTTCTTTTGTTTGACACTTCACTGAACTTGAGTCTCACTGATTGGGCTAAAACAGGAGCTGTACCTGTTTTGTTTTGTTTTGTTCTAGTGTATATTCTGAGGATCTGAACTCAGCCCTCATGCTTGTATACTACTACTCACCAAACGTACTACTCACCAAACGTACTACTCACCAAACGTACAAGCGTACTACTCACCAAACCATCTTCCCAGCCCTGTATTATCTTTATTTTACAGTGAGGAAAGTTAGATTGTTTGCCTGAGGGCACACAGCCCAGCCCATCAGCCTATGCTTGGCCACAAAACTGAACCGTCTCCTAGGGACTGATGGTGTGGCTCAGTGGGTAGAGTGTTTGCCAGGAACACACGAAGCTCTGGGTTCCATCCCCAGCAGTGCATATAACCAACCACAGTGGGATACCCCTGCAATGCTAACACTGGGAGGTGGAGGCAGGAGGACCAGGAATTCAAGAACCTCCTTGTCTTCATTGCTAGTGTGAGACCAGCTGAACTACAAGACACCCTGTCTCAAAACAAAAAGAAATGAACAGAACTCAGATGTCTTCCGGACCTGCTCAGGACTGAAAGGTAGCACAAGGCAGTGGTTAAAGGTTGGGGCCACTTCCACCTGTGTTACCCAGCAAGTTATTTAACCTCAGTAGGCTTCAATTTCCTCCAAGCAAAATGGGGCCGATAACCACTTCAGCAGCTCTTGTGAAGATTAAAGATAGCAAATAAAGTACTGTATTTAGAGGGCCTCCAAACATAATAATTAGCCACAATTATTATTATCATACCTTTGCCAATTCTCTTGGTCTCTTAAGAAACCAATGTTTTTGGTTTTGGGTTACTGAAATTCTTTTTGAGATAGTGTCTCACTCTCTATAGCCACAGTTGGCCTGGAAGCTACTATTTAGACCACATCGGCAAGATCCTCTTGCTTCTGCTCCTAGGTGCTGGGATTGCAGGAGTGTCTCACCCTGCCTGCCAGCTCTAAAGGGTTTCGACAACTGTGTTAGATAGTGGTAGCTCATGCCTGTAATCCCAGCACTAGGAAGGCAAAGGCAGGAAGACTGAAGACAGTTCAAGGCCAGCCTGGTCTACATAGCCAGTTCCAGACCATCCAGGGCTACACAGTAAGATAAAAAAGTTTTAACAACTGAAAAAAAATCTCTCTGCTGTAGTCTGCCTCAACACACGGGCACACCAAACACATAAAATCTGGCTAATTACAAGTGTTCTACAGAAGGTAAAATGAGACACTGATCTATGACTCTCCTGGTTGGGTGTTCCCTGGACAACTAGGGAAAATGTTAGCCGTGGCTGGAAACATTCAGATGCCTAGATTTCTATCACTCCATATTAAATTCAAACTTTTTTTTAAAAAAGTCAAGTGGTTTTTTTGATGTATGCGTATGTGTGTGTTGGGGGGGTGTTTATGGTACACAGAGAGTGTGGATGTCAGAGGACAACTTGGAGTTGGTTCTCTTCCTGGGATGAAGCTCCAGTGGCCAGGTTAGTTGTCCTTTACCCCTGAGCCAGCTGCCCTAAGCTCCGACTCTTATGTCTACTTATTGCTCCAGTTTTGAGTTATCTAAGGTTCTCAAAGGAGTGGATGCTATGAAACAGCTCCAGTTTCTTCTTTCATAAAAAAAAAAGAGGGGTGTGTGTAGGGGGAGAATATGAAGACTTTTTTTTTTCAGGAACACCCAAGGCTAAAAGCAAATTTTATTTTTTTTAAAAAGGGGGATCAAGCTCCAAACCCAGTTGAACCCTGAGAGGCAAGTGAATGACAGTCTCAACACATAGCGGATCCAAGGGTCTCAGAAACAAAAGGTGGATTAAAGTCCCCTGGGCTAAAATGGCCTTCTTCCTTCCCTATCTCTTCGATCTTCCCTACTCCCAGAACACAACAGGGAACCAGCCTTTGGCAGAAGTCAACTGGACCTTCAAAGTAGAACTCTGAGAGCCAGAGTAAGGAATCTCCTCGCACAGCTTCGGCAGTGGGACCCTAAGGGTTGTATTCTCGGAAATGGATTTTACACACAGATGAACTGATGACTGCCCCTTGCCTCAGGCTTGATTCAGTACAATCAATACAGCAAGCATAAAAGCTCGAGGTAAAAGCGGATAGTGGTTTTGGTGATAACCACAGTGGAATTTTGGCCATCTGCCCTGGTCAGACCAGACAAATAAGGCGCTCTGCTTATTAGCAGTCAGGCATACTTTGGAGGGTGGAAACAAAACCTTAAGTCAGGATTCTGGGTCTCAATGGACAACTTATTCCCGACACGCAAGGATCTGACAGTTCAAGCACCTCAATTCCTGCCCCAGCCTGCAGCCCCCACCCTCGACCCCACCCCGCTCCTCCAGTCCCCCGGGGTCATTTTCCAAGTTGAGCCACACTTCGCGTTTCCTACATCCCTTCTCATCACTCAGAGCCCTTCGGCTCAGCCTGAGACCAACAGCTGGGGCTGCTGAGAAACAGGATGCTGAGGAGGGAGGGAAAAGTCAATGCAAACATGAAGCAATCGGGAGCACCATTCACACCCTCAGGCCAGCGTCCCCACACTTGCAGAAATCAAGTGTTTCCCAAGTGCTTCCCCTACCCAGAAGAACCCCTTCCCTCAGGCCCCTTTCTTCTGGCGACCCCTGATGATGCTCAGCCTCAGGGATCTCCAGCTCCTCAGAGTTCGCCCTGATCCCCAGGTCCCTGACGTCCCTGGGACCTGCTAGTTCCGCACCCCAAGATGATTCCGATTGCAGCCACCTTGCCTACCCCCCCCGGGTCTGCAAGACCCTCACTCCCTTCAAAGCCCCTCAGCACCCTGCACCACTCCGGGTGCCCCAGGGATGCCCCAGGGTTCGAAGTCCTCACCTGAGTCCTCTCGAAGCTCTCGCGCTCTGCAGCCTCCATCCCAGCACCAACCCCACGCCGGCTCAACACTTTTGGCAGCGGGTTGGGTACCTGCTTCATGGAGCTAGCCATCCGGTCCATGTTCCCAGGGTGAGTATAATTCGTCAGGGGCCCTCGGCAGCCCCGGGATCCCCGCGGCGCCTCCCGCCCCGCCCTACCCGCGGGGATCCGGCGCTAACGGGAACAGATTTCGTCTTCCATTGGTTGACAGGGCTGTCCATCTCCCTCAGGACCCACCCCATCTCTCCAAGAGGCTTTCCCCCACACGCCTCCTCCCACTTCTGAGGCACTCGGCTCACGGTGCTCGGCTGGCCCGCCTCAGGGCGGGCGGCACGTTCTGACTGGTCGGGAGGCTTGTCCATTATCATTAGTGGGCGGGACCTGGTGGGCTGCTGTCCCAATCTGCCCTCCGAAGCTCCGCCCCCACCTGGTTCACCACCTCCCGGGCCCTGAAGGCGGTAGATACAATGTGATTGGTCCGAACTTGATTGTCATCACAGCGGGGCTGGACCTGGCAAGCCGCCCTAACCTTCCCTTCGACCGCCGCAGCCTACATCCGTCGCTCCGCCTTCTCATCCCCGCAGGACCACAAGCATCATGATTGGTCGGAAGGCTTGTCCGTCACCGTCACGAGGCGGGGCCTGGCTGCCCGGGACCAGCCCTCGCTGACTCCACCCTACTTTTGAAGCGCCGCCTCCTGGGCTCCCGGCAGCTGTGGGAATTTGAGCAGTGAGAGCAGCGGTCTGGCCAGCGCAACCTGTGGTTCGCGTTGTTCAAATGAGTCCCCGAGGGCAGGGGAAGGCAGATCAAGGGAAGCTTGGCTGCACATCTGTCACCCGGCACCCGGGGCAACTCCACGTCAGGGTAGTCCTCCTTCCGGCACATCCAATCTCTGCCCATTCTGGAGGATCGCAGACCCGGGTGCCCAAGTACTGGACTGTGACTGCGGCTGCTCCCCGGAGCTTTCCAGACCTTACCTGTTGGCAGAAACCCCCACAGCTGCCTCTTGTTTATCTACGGTAGGGTCCACCCCTCTCATCCTGCTTTGACTTCAGCCAAAAAAGTTGCACGTTCTCCAGTAACAGAACAAATGGCACCGTTAGGCTTCAAACAATTAGATGATTCTATCTGTCTATCTATGCAGTAGAACCTAGGGTCTCTCTCGTATTGGGCATTGCTTTAATTAATCACTGACAGCATTAAACTCATTATGTAGTGTAGTCCCTTGAATCCCTGATCCTCTTGCCTCTTCCTCCCAAGTGTTAGGATTATAGGTGTGAGTCACTATGCTTGACTTTTTTTTTTTAATGTATGTGTATATATGTACCCGTATGCATGTGTGTGGGTGTGCTCATGCTCACGGTGCACCTGTGGAGGTCAGAAAGCAAATAGGAATCTGTTTTCTACCATGTGGGGCCCAGGGATCTGACTAGGGTGGTCAGGGTTAGTAGCAGTCTACCAACTAAACTATCTCACCAGCAGGACTCTTTAAAAACAAAATAGTGTTTCACTAAGTAGTCTAGGCTGGCCTTGAACTCCCAGCAATCCTTCCTCAGCCCTTTTAATGCTTACATTACAGGCATACAAACCTGTATGCCCAGGACCGACAGATCCCCCAGCTTCCACAACAAAAGTTCTGTTTGTAGGTATGTGGCCGTGTGTGTGTGTGTGTGTGTGTGTGTGTGTGTGTGTGTGTGTGTGTGTGTGTGTGATGCACATGGAGAGCTGAAGCTAATGTCAGCAATCATTTTCTCTCTCTCTTGCATCTTACCTGTCAAGGTGCAGTCTCATTAAACCCAGAGCTTATTGCTATGTGGGGTGGTTTGAAAGAAAATGGCCCCCAAAAGGAGTGGCACTATTAGGGGTTGTGGCCATGTTGGAGTAGGTGTGGTCTCATTGGGGGAAGTGTGTTACTGTGGAGGTGGGCTTTTAGGTCTCATATAGGCTCAAGATACTGCCCAGTGTCTCAGACCACCACCTGTTGCCTGTGAGTCAAGATGTTTAAGAACTCTCAGCTCTTTCTCCAGCACCATGTCTGTCTGCGTGCTGCCTTGCTTCCTGCCACGGTGATAATGGACTCAACCTCTGAACTGGAAGTGAGCTACCCCAATTAAATGTCTTCCTTTATAAGAGCTGCAGTGGTCATGGTGTCTCTTCACACCAGTGGAAACCCTACCTAAGACACTATGGCTATCTGCACTAGTCAGTTTGCTCTGGATAGACCCTGTCTCCTGCTTCTGAGATTGGACTTCCAGGCAGGCTACCACACCCATCCCAATCATCAATCCTATGATCAGCAATCACTTTAACTACTGTGCCATCACCGAAAGAGGAGTTTATTTTGAAACTGCCAATGATTTGTTTTAAATCAGAAACTTCGGGTAAAAATTCACATTCAATAGAGGTGAGCATTTGCAAGCACCAGGGAGCCGCTGAAGACTTTTGCTGTGCCACAAGTTACCCCACCCAGTTTAAGTGAAGGGACCCAGGGAGCAGTGTCACCAGTAGGCTAGTGTCTTAGTCAGGGTTTCCTTTGCTGTGATGAAACACCATGTCCAAAAACAAGGGTTTATTTGGCTTACACTTGCACATTGTAGTCTTGAAGGAAGCCAAGACAGGATCCAGAGGCAGTAGCTGGTACAAAGGTGCTGCTTACTGGCTTGTTCAGCCTGTCTTCTAATAGAATCAGGACCAGTAGCCCTACCCACATAGAGCTGGGTCCTCCCCCATCAATCACTAATTAAGGAAATGCCCTACAGTTGGATCTTATGGAGGCATTTTCTCAATTGAGTTCCCGCCTTTCACTCTAGCTTGTGTCAGGCTGACATAAAACTAGGCAGGGCAGCTGCTGAGGATCTAGAATAAAAGAGGAGAAAGTTCTACTTTTTAGGAAGTCATGAATAAGTGTGTGCCAAGTTGGGAGAGGGATTTGAGAGCACCAGAGTGATGGGAGGGTTGGGTTGGGACTATATTTGTATTTGAAGGAGGTGGTCTATAGATTGCATTCTGGTGGGAAAGAATGCATAAGTGCATTTGGGCACCAAGTGCTGGGCAGTATCTGTCCAAGTTATAGAATGAAAGAGACCAGGGCTGGGGAAAGGCCTCAGGTGGTAGTATACTTGCCTCACAAGCATGAGGTCAGATTTTCAATCCCTTGAACCCACATAAAAACCCAGGTGTGGTGGCATGCACCTCTAATTCCAGCCCCCAAGGATGCAGAGGTGGGTGGATCAGGGTAGTTTGCCAGTTAGCCTAGTCCACTTGGTGAGTTCCAGGCCAGTGAAAAGCCCAGTCTCAAAATGTGGAAGGTACCCAAAGATCAACAACTGAGGTTGTCCTCTGCTCTCCACACATGTGCGCACACACCTGCACACACACACACACACACACACACACACGCACACGCACACGCACACGCACACGCACATGAACCAGGGGATATTGAAAGCTGTTCCTATTTCTTTTTAAAATTCACTTTAGATTATTTTTTATGTGTGAGTGTTTTGCTTGCATGTATGTGCATTCCCACAGAGGCCAAAAGAGGGCATTAGATCCCATGGGTTCGTTACAGATGGTTATGAGCTGTCAAGTGGGTGCTGAGAATTGAACCCAGATTATCTGTGTAAACAAGTGGTCCAAACCACTGAGCCATCTCTCCAGGCTCCTGTTTCTATCTTTTGATCTGAAGGGACAAGGGTGGGGAGGAAGCTGTCCTGGAACCAGTCAGGACTTGAGTCTTGGAAGAAGCATGACCTGCCATCAGCAGAGATGTGCCCTTGTATTCAAAACCAGCACTGCAGGAACAACAGACTGGCAAGGAGGGGTGGGTGGTGATGGAACTCCAACCCCTCAACCTTCTAACTTCTTGCTCAGATCACTCAACCTCGGCTAAATGTAAAGGGTGGGGAAACAGTATGGCCTCACCCCTCCTTCCAAGAACAAGTGAGGCCCTCTGACCTCCTCTCCCCTTCCCTTCCCGTGCACTTTCCTTTCCTCTCCTCTTCTCTCCTCTTCTCTCCGTCTCTCCCTTCCTTCCTCTTTCCTGTATGTTTGAGGGTGACACATGGGGATACATGTGACTGTGTACACATGTACACTCGTCCACCTTGGATTTGGTTATTTTTATTTATTCATTTATCTTGAGACACAGTCTCACTATGTAGCCCTGGCTGGCCTGGAACTTGCTATGTAGACCAGGCTGGCCTCAAACTTCATAGAGATCCATCCTCCTCTGTATCCTGAGTTCTGGGATTAAGAGCATGTACTACCATGCTTGATTGTTTTATTGTTGTTTTGTTTTTCAAGACAGGGTCTTACCATGTAGCCCTGGTTGCCCTGAAACTCACAGAGATCTGCTACCTCTCCATCTGTCTCCCAAGTGCTCAGATTAAAGTGGCGACACCATGCCTGTCTTCTGCCTTGTTTTTTTTTTGTTGTTGTTGTTGTTGTTTGTTTAGTCTTTGGTTGTTCTGCCTTTAAAATGTGTGTGTGTGTGTGTGTGTGTGTGTGTATGAGAGAGAGAGAGAGAGAGAGAGAGAGAGAGAGAGAGAGGTGCCTGTACAAGCAGAAGAGGGTGTCAGATCCCTTGAAGTTTTAGATGGTCGTGAGCCACCCCACATGGGAACCCCCAAACTTGGGTCCTCCACTACCTGCTGAGCCATCTCTCCAGTCCTCAACCCCTACCTCATGTTTTTTGAGACAGGTCTTTCCCTGGTCCTGAGCCAGCAAGCCCTGGGGATTCCCCCTACTTCTGTTTCCTGGATTACAAGCAAGAACACCTGTTTTGCCTTGGCGGTAGTGGTGGTGGTGGTGGTGGTGGTGGTGGTGTGTGTATGTTTCTTGTGGATTCAAGGAATCAACTCAGGTCCTTGTGCTTGTAAGACAAGTGCTTTGCCAACTGAGCTACCTCTCCCAGTACCCAAGGGAATGATTTCAATAGAAAACACCAGGGGGACGACGGTGAATCCTCCCTGACATGCTGACCCTGCTGTCACCATTCCGAGGTCCACACTTGTCTTATACGATGGGCTCAGCTGAAGACAGATTTAGGACTCCTCATCAGGATTTTATAGCATTAATAAACACCAGCCTTTTAAACAGGGATTAAGGGATCAGCCTGCTTCTTATTAGAGTAAACCAGA